CCCCAGTACCCCCCCCCGCAGTGCGCCTGATTGAACCGAGGGCCTGCCGGGCTGGTGAACTGTCCAGTCCGACCGGCAGGCTCCCGGTTGGTCGAAGGTCCGCATTTCAAACCAGGCACGGTCTGTATGAGTTTGTGGTGATACCTTTTGGCCTTTGCAATGCGCTGGGAACATTCCAACATCCCATGAATAGGGTCTTCCATGACTACTTGGATAAGTTCATCATCATGTAACTCGACGATATACTTATCTTGAGTAGGACTGTCGAGGAACATGCCCAACACATAGAAACCGCACTTTCACTCCTGCGACAACACAAGTATAAGATAAACTTAGAGAAATACGAGTTCAGTTGCACTAAAATCTTGTACTTGGGTCATGAGATATCTGTGGAAGGGATTAGGCCCAAAGATGCAAAGGTGGCTAGCATTCGTGACTGGCCACGACCCCCGTCTGTAACTGAGGTCAGATCATTCTTAGGGATGTGTAGCTACAACCGCAATTTCGTAAAGAATATGGTGGCCTCCCCTTTGGCTGATCACACACCTTGACACACCATTGGAATGGTCAGACTCGTGTGAGGCTGCTTTCTAAAAGTTGAAGTACGCCCTCACACAGCATGAGATTCTCATGGTCCCCGATCCGGAGAGGCCATTCGTTGTGACCACTGACACAAGCCAATATGGCATTGGCGCAATGCTAGCCCAACAAGAAGGGAAGGAGTTAAGGCCGATCAAGTACATGAGTAAGAAGAAGTCATTGAAGAAACTGACAAAGTCCACCTATGAAAGGGAACTTTATGCGCTTTACAAAGCCCTTGTCCACTGGAGACACTATCTGCTTGGAAGGTTCTTCTATTTGAGAACTGACCATTAGACACTCAAGCGGATCAAGACACAACCTGTCCTCTCTGATGCACTCGAACGCTGGATTGAAGTCATAGACCAATATGACTTCAAGCTAGATTCGTAAAGGGAGAGTACAACAATGTTGCTGATGCGCTGTCACGTAGGGCAGACTACCTAGGGGCGCTAATTACTGAATTATTTATACAAACAAAGAACCACGGCTTATCCGATGATGTAACTCGGTTTTTGGTGGAAGTCTACAAGGAAAACCCCGTCATGATGGACATCATACGCAAACTTGATGCCCAAAACAAGGCCACATCTGACGAGTTTGTGTTGGTGTACGGTTTACTGTTTCTCGAAAAGGCAGGTTTTAAGAGGTTGTGCATTCCTTCTAAAGAGATTCTTTGTACTTCGTTTTTAGTCGAGTGTCACGACGCAACCGATCACTTAGGCTACAAGAAGGCCAGTGCTAATTTAGTGCAGCGTTTCTGGTGGCCTAATATGGTTGACAATGTAAAGAAATACGAACAGACTTGTCAAGTCTGTCAACGGGACAAGCCGCGAACTCAAGCTCCGCTTGGGTTATTGAAGCCATTGCCCATTCCTGCTAAGCCAGGAGAGAGTGTCTCCATGGACTTCATAGATACCCTCGTGACCAGCAAGAGTGGCAAAAGGCACATATTCGTCATAGTTGATAGGTTTACTAAATACGCTATACTAATCCGTATGCCGGAAACAGCAAACTGAAAACAGAGCATTCCATCAAGTTATTCATGGATAACGCGTAACTTCGGACTGCCCAAAACCATTGTCAGTGATAGAGATAACGTGAAATGTGGCCAAAGGTTGTTGAACAGATGGGCAGTCAACTCCAAATGACTTCGGCGATCATCTCCAGTATGACCAGCATAGCTTTTTGGAATATTTTGAAGATAAAGTTGCGGCCTCTCCTGAGGACACGAAGTGGGCGAAGCCCAAAGCCCGACTTTAGCGAGTCCACGCAAGAAGAGACGTTGGATCTCGCACTCGACTAATTATGTACTAGAAAAAGGAGTCTCTGTTTTCCGTCTTGGTACATGGAGCCTGGAGGCACGAAGTCTTGATTGGATCCCAAGCGCAACGCTTGAGCTTCCAATCGCCTGGAAGTTCAAATTGTATCATCATCCCATATTATATATATAGGATGTCTAGTGTGCAGTCGTTGAGGCCTTCCCTGCTGATTGTCCGCACCGACGCATTCATTACTGGATACTTAGCTAGGTTTCAGCATATAGCCAAATTTGCCTTTAGCATTACTGTGTAAGCGCCCCAGATAAGGCATCCGCCCCAGATAAACTACCCACCATGCAAGGTTCTACCAAACCAATTGTTTTGCTGTACACCACACCACCGGCGTCAGTCCCAACCAGCTGCATTTGGGTTGTAAGCCTAGATCTGCATTAGACTTCCTCCTACTTGAAAACCGACCGGCTTCAACTCCCGGAACCGTTGAATTTGGTGTCCAGTATGAGAAACTGTTGCAGCAGGCTGTCGAGCGTATCAGAAAAGTCTCAAGAGGCAATGATTGCCTCTGAGAACGCGTCTGGGTAAAGGCTAGTGAACTGGGATGGGAGTTTGGCATCTCTGGGAAGTTAATGCCACAGTCCTAGACATTGTGGGTAGTGATCTAGATGGTCCCTCGTATGTCATCAGAATCCCTGGTCACCTGCGTGCTTACCCTGTATTTCAGGCTTCCAAACTTGCACCTTTGGTTGAGACAGATCTGTTCCCAACAAGAAGGTCAGTGCTGCCCCCAACCATGGATGGCCACATGGACGTCGGCGACATCTTGGAACACAGAGATTTGCCTGTTCCCAAGCCTGCTGGCAGAGGTAGACCGCCCAAACCTATGAGGGAGTACCGGGTCAGGTTCAGTCATCATACCGATCCAAAAGCGTTGGTTGGAGCTTGTCAAGTCAGCACCTCAGATCTTGGCTGAGTATGAATGAAGACTGAAGGGAAAGGCACCTGCATAGAAGCATCTCAGCAGAATTCCAAAGCTAAGGGGGATGGAATGCGAGAAATGAGCCTCGCGGAGCCCTTATCAGATATACAAGTGTTTTGGGCTGTGGCCCCCAGCAAGCCTCGTGCCCACCCTCAAGTGAAGGCGGGCCTGAATATCCACGTGAGGCCTGTTTTCGACAATTTTTCCATGTGTGGATACTCAGACAGTTGCAGCACACCAGTTGGTTACAGAACAACGTGAGCCTCCAGGCTCTCTCCAGACACAAAGGGGCCAGGGCTCAGGTGGACATCACGGACTGGTTACTGGCCAATGAGGAAGCTGCATCGTCGTCACACGGGCTGCGAGCCATTCTGGCATTGGCAGGCAATGCAGACACGCTGCTGTGTTGCTGTGCTAGTGTCTGCAGGGGAGCTGAGGTGAGAGGGACGCTGCAAGGCAGCGGGCGCACTGCACCCATAGCCAGGCTGCAGGGGCGCAATGCAGGTGATAGCGATGGTGGTCTTCAGGTAGTAGGCGCATGAAGAGGGGATCCAAGGGGTGATGAGGGGAGGAGAGAGAACGTACATTGTTTATGCTGGTGGTTGGCATTGGTGTTGATGTCACATACATTGGTCTTTGACAGTTGTGAGAACGTGAATAGGCTAGATAGGCCGAGTAGGATAGGCTGGGCGCTGGGCGCCAGACAGTGAGTGCAACATTGGATACAGTGTTGGTGTGACCAGAGAGTGGCTACATTGACACCTGAGTTCATTGTATTGCTCTTATTTGGACGGTATCTTGGTGCATTGCACTCTCTGCTTGGTTCATGACTATCTGAGCTACTTCGCAATTTTGCAACTTGGATTTTTTGTCTATCGCTCGCGCTCATATTCCTTGCATTCCCAAGACTAACCATGCAAGGACAGCTACCTCTCACAGTCAAAGGGATGCATATAGAATCCCCACCCTAATTGGTGGTGGTCCAGCAGTAGGGGGGAGGAAGCCAGTGGGGTGCGCCAGCTAACACAAAGACTCAGCACTTTGCCAGTAGCTGCACCTCCCATCTACTTCCTCCACCCCCACCGAGTAACAGCAGTGCCCAAGGCCAACACCTTTCTATACACCACACATACCCCCCCCCCCCACACACACATACCCCTGTGGACTAAGGACCCTGCCAACACCGACCAGGGGGAGCAAGCCAATTATCTCAGTTGGTTGTCACCAAGTGTGTGCTGGGCTGTCAGTGGGGATTGAACCCACACCCTCGCCGCTTGCTTCATTCCAAAACTATGGCTTGAGGCAGCAGTAATTTTGCATGGATATTTCGGTTGACCCTTGAGTCTTTTTCTTTTTTTGGCTTTGATATTTCGGTTTGGAGTCTTCAAACACCAGAAGCATATAATGTGGACCAAGCTTCACACCAAAATAGATCAAGAACGGAGAGATCCAGAAGCAGGGTAGAGATGGTTCTAGCTCAGTGACCTCACCTACCTAAATAGTAGTACTGAAATGCAGGACAGGATTGGCTCATTCTCTTCACAAAATCAATTTCTTGCAGGACCGAATACTTCCCTGCGCAACACATTTTTCCAAAGAAAGCTGAAAGTTAGCAGAGCAAGAATCGACTCCATGGAATGCAACATCCAGTACATCGTTCAGCCATTCATGCCGAGTTTGAAATTGGCCTGCGCACCAAGCTTTGCCGAGCCTGGAGGTGGGCCAGGAGCTGGTAGAGGAACTTTGTTGGCTGGGACCGGTACCGCCCATTATGCTGGACCTGCTGCCAGCAGCTGGAACGGACTTTGGTCGCTGTTTTCATGTTTTCACTCCTGTACCACCCCAGGTCTGGCCAGAAGTGCAGCTAGATACATTCTGGAAAGTGCTGGCTGGCAGGTACTTGATTGCTCCCCGTCTCCCATGGGGAGTCACATCATAAACAGTTGGGAATCTTCTTCCCCCAAAAAAAAACAGGCATACCACGCACGTGTAGCTCACACCATATGGTCCATTCACACTGAGAATCCAATCTTTCTCATGTCGAACATAATAGACTCGAACTTGTTTAATTGAGAAATCACAGGCCATTGTGAAATCTCTGCCAACGCTCATACCAAGCTGGTGCAGGTAGTCTGACTGCTTTACCTGTTGTCGAAACACAAGCTGGAATGCCTAGCAGGGCGCTAGCCAGACTTCTGGGGCCTCTGCTTTGACATGCACCGATATTCATAACCGCTGCACACCAAATTGCAAACAAACCGTGCAAGCAGTCTAATCGAGCAATGAAGGCAAGCAAACTTGTGAGGTTTCCGAAATGAGGTTATTGTATGCATTTTGGGAGAAGGCCATAATTTACAAGAGCACTCTACTGTTATGGTTCGAGGAGGTAGACTCAAAGATTTGCGTGGTAACCTGAAATCAACAGAACCAAAGCACTGATGAGTCGGTGTGGAACAAAGGCATAGGAAGCTCTGGAAGCGACTGCCTTCAGATTTGTCCACTGTGGCCCAGAAGTAAGGTCAGATACACTCCAGAAAGTGCTCAAGTAGAGTGAATCCCAGAAAAGGAAAGGGCTGGCAGGCATTGATTGTTCCCCGTCCCTAACGGAGAGTCACATCACAAACAGCCGAGAGTCTAAGGCATACTAAGCTCTGAACGTGGTTGACTTCAGATTCATCCACGGCAGCACAGAAGTAAGGTCAGATGCATTCTGGAAAGTGCTGAAGTAGAATGAAGCCCTGAAATCGAAAGGGCTGGCAGGCATTGATCGCTCCCGTCTCTCATGGGGAGTCATGTCACAAACAGCTGAGAATCTCTTCCAAAAAAGAAATGAATCATTCGGATTCATTCCCATTTTAACAGATATCGAGAAGGAGAAAAGGTCCAAAGGAAGAAAAAAAAGACTTTGCAGATTCGACATGGTTGAATCTCTCGTCCTCCCTCTCTTCTCCTCCTCATCGTTGTCCTCGCCATCCTCGTCGTCGTCCTCGTCCACCTCCTCCTCCTCCTCCCATCCCATGCAGGTGTCGAATCTGTCCAGGTTTTTTTTTTTGGGGGGGGGGGGCTTTTCTCAATTTGTGCGTGTCATTCTTGTGCCGCCATGCTAATCTTCTCTGTATCGTTCCCATTTTAATGGATGTCCCGAAGGACCCTAGGTATCGATGTCCTTATTTTGGGCTTGAAAATTTCTTGAAATTTATTTTTCTTCTTCTTTTCTTTTTTTCTTTCTTTAGGGCTTGAAATTTTGAGGTTGCCCTTGTTTTTCCTTTTCCCTTTTTTCTGCGGTCGCTTTATGTGCCCGGCGGACGTGGCAAAGGAGGAGGAGGATTGGCAGAGGACAGATGGAGGAGACGATTGTGGAGGAGGAGGAGAAGTGATGGAGCAAGGGGGGGGGAGGGGGTTAAAGTGGGGGTAGCCTGGATCGTTGCACCAATAAAGGAGGAGATCGCCCTCACCATGGATCGTCGAACCAATAAAGACACCCCCCCCGACACCACCCCCACTTTCCCTCCCCCATACAACCCCCCACCCCTCCATCTCTTCTCCTCCTCCTCCAGAGTTGTCTACTCCATGTCTCGTCCATCTCTCCCCCATTCTCCTTCATCTCTCCTCATCTGTCCTCCACCTTTCCTCCATGTCTCCTTCAGCTCTCCTCCATCTGTCCTCCATCTGTCCTCCATCTTTCCTCCATCTCTCCTTCACCTTCCCTCCACCTTTCCTCCATCTCTCCCTCCACCTTTCCTCAATGTCTCCTTCATCTCCTCCATCTTCGCATCTCCCTGCCATACTTCATCTCTCTTCCACATGTCCTCCACCTTTCCTCCATCTATCTTTCATTTCTCCTCCATGTATCTTCCATCTCTCATCCTACCCTCCATCTTCCATCTCTTGCAATCTCCCCTCCATCTCTGCTCTATATCCCCTCCTCCTCCCGCCATTGGGGGAATAGTGCTCGGCAATTCGTCTACCCCCCTTTTGGCTGACATATCCCCACCATGTCCCCATCTCCCCGCCATATCCCCTCCACCTTCATCTCTCCCCATGCCTCCACCTTTCTCCTCCACCTTTCTCCTCCACCTTTCTCCTTCATCTGTCCATCTCTCCTCCATCTCTCCTGCATCTGCCATACATCTCTCCTCCATATCTTCGTCGTCTCTCCTACACCTGGCCTCCACCTTTCCTCCATCTATCTTCCACCTTTCCTCCATGCATCTCCTTGTGCTCACCCTCTTGTTGCGAACTTCTGAAGGCGGCAAATGTTGTTGGTGATTTTCTTTCTTTTATCGTCCATTTGATTTGGAAGCAGACTGCTGGAAATTGCTTGTTTCTTTCTCATTTTTTTATAACGTTCGTCCTGTTTGCCCAGCCGTGTTGAAAGGGGGTGGTGGTTGTGGAGGAGTCTGCGGCAGGAGGGGGGAGTATACAGAATGTGGTGTGGGTGAATTGGGGATGCAACAGGGAATATGGCTGATTTGGTGTGCTTGCCCGTCGTTGATGTGTGCAGGCCACAATGACGAGCTGCAAGTTCGCTGGCGACATGGTCAAGCACAATTTCACTCCTAAAGCCCCTCAGACCCCTCAGAACCCCCTTCAAAAAAAAAAAAAAAAGAACACCCCACACGGCTCCGCACGGTGCGGAGCTGGGAGTGCACGGCCCTGCACATTTCCGCACCCACACAGGTACCCCCCGCACGGAACTGGTTTGTGCGGGTGCGGGGTGTCCGGAGATCGGGCACCTCCCGCACGTTGTACTCTGCACCGCACCGCACGAATGCGCGGTTCATGCGGTTGCAAGTATGCTTCAGATTCATCCACCGCGGCCCAGATGTTAGGTCAGATACAGTCTGGAAAGTGCTGAAGCAGATGCTTGCTCCCCGTCTCTCACGGGGGGTAACATCAGAAACAGCCATGAATCTTCTTCCAAAAAAATCAGGAAAGACGAAAAAAGTAAAAAAAAGGGGAAAATGTTATTGCCTTCAGCATCCGCGTGTTCTCACATGCACGCCACACCAACAGGACATCTTGCAGTCCATTTGCCAGCTTTCCTTGGGCCCACCGGGCTTCCTCCCCCGTCGTACTACCGAGCCTACAAATGTTGCCGTAAACGAGCAGCATATTTGCTTTTCAAGCGGGTAAAGGTAATGCCAGGATTTCAGCCCTCGGCATGCTGGAGAAGGCCTTGCCCACCCTAAGCGAAGGCGGGCCTGCTAATATGTGCCAAGGCCTGGATACAGGCCAGTGTGATCACGCTAAAGGGCTGTTGGAATCTATATGCGGGCCTGAATCTGCGCAGTGGCCCTTCTAGGGCTCACCCCACATCTCGGCTGCTGCACCGTACAGACTTGTGCCCGCCCTAAGTGAAGGCGGGCCATAATATTTACGAGAGGCCTATTTTTGTCAATTCTGCATGTCAGGTATCAGACAGTTGCAGCACACCAGTTGGTTACAGAGTAACGTGAGCCTTTTCCTTGGCTCATTCCGGCAGCAGCAGTTCGAGAGGCAGTTGAGCCCAGGGCACGTACAGTTGAGGCCCTGGGCGTGAGCCACCAGAGGCTGACACATCACAGACCAGCCGCGGGCCAATGAGAATGCAGCATCTTAGTCACACACTGGCCAGCATCCAATGAGATCGCGGCGGACACTTGTAGCCTCGTGGGCTAGCTGGGCGTGCCCAACTGCAAAGGGCCACAGGCCCCTAACAGCAACTAGGGGCCTGGGCGCAGACACTGAGGCCCAACTGGAAGCTACTGGAAACTCGTCCAGACAGACCTAGAGCTCGACAAAACAGAGCTCAGTTTCCGTAAAGGAAAGTGAGCACGACAGCCAGAGGGTATGCTGGCCGTGTGCTTGCTGGCGGCAGCGCTGCTGGTTTGAGCGCTGAGGGCCGCTGGTAGGCTCTCACCCAGGAGGCCTTTTCAGAGCCTTTTCCTTTACGGCAGAGACCACTGGTTTAGTCCTGACACGTCAGTCCAAAGAAGCCTCTGAGTTTTTCCAACCCCTTGGATATGGATGCAGATAACCGATGTCAGGTCAACACAAAGGTCCAAAAGTCACTGTTACATGCTGAAAGCCTACACACGGGCCCCTCACGGGACCCGAGGTTGGAATAGGGGCCCCAGGTCGCGTCACCGCAACCTGAAGGCCCTATGRCATTTTTACTTGGGCCTGCATCAGAAAAACGCCAGCTTTAGATTATTTTTATATTCTTTTATTTATTTATTTGCTGCTGTTTTTCTAACGGTTGTACTGTTGTCCGTTTTGTGGCCAGGTACACGTTTTAGGACCAGGGCCAGATTCAGGCCCAGAGGCTGAGCTCCTAAAAACGTTTGGACCTTTTCTTTTGTTTTCGAACAGATTGCTACCTGTTCGGACCCAGGCCGACGTTGAGGCCGGGTACGTCCGCACAGGACCGGTTCGAGGCCAGGTACCACGAAACTGAATCCTGGACAGGGCCTGGACGTCCGGTAGGGACCCAGGCAGGCCGTTTTAGGCCAAGGACTGGACCAGTTTCAAAGCCTGCGATCTGGACCATGGATCGGAGTTTCGATCTGCACGGCCCAGAACGCAGGCCGTGGGTTTTCAGTCCTGGCCCAGCGCTACTTAAGCTGGGCCGTTGCCCAGTTTGTGGACAGAAGGTACCAGGAGAAATCCAGCGTTATGCTGGTTCAGGAACTTCGCTGCTGCGCTATTTTGGAGACTCCCTGCTATTTCGCTGTACTAACTGTCCTTAGACTCCTTACCCCATAGACATCTGGCCTGGGTGCACAATAGAGCGCAGGATAGGTCCTCTGTGCAGGATCACTCTGAGGAGTTGGAGAGGTTCCCATCATTTTTGGACCTTCAGATTGGGGTTCATTCTCTGGAAATTGGTTGACTTCAAAAAGTTTAAACCAATTTTTTGCTTCCCAGTTTTCCCAAAAAGTCCATAGTGGTTGGATGTGGGTGTACCTACTCCACATCCCATGTATGACACCTTACCAGCCTCGTGCATCAGAAATTGTCCTGTTCAAAAGACATGCTAGCCCTCTGAACGTACTAAGTTACTCAACTAACCTATGCCTACCTGGATTGCAAGGCCATTATGACCGGGACGTCCATATCTGACCACTGAAGAATTCTTCCACAGCATGCACTGCACATGTAAATCGCTAGCAAGGGTCCCTTGGCACGTCCCAGACCCAATCGCCCTTGTAGATGGTCAAAAGAATGGGTGGCTCGAGGACGAAAGCTCACCTAAGGAAAGGAAGGCAAAATCAGGATCCCAAAAAAGGTACTTGCTAGAAAGGCACCTGCCAAATTTAGTCAAAAAAACAAATCAACAGAGAGCATTCAGATTCCAAATCAATCCAATTTTATTACTGCTCCCCCTTTGGCAGGTGAGCATATTAAACCACAGCCATTGACTTGTACCATACTCGTTTTCAATCACCCAAAAAACAGACGGACTGCACCAAAAAAACACATCTTGTCACATGGTTAGGAACCAAGGCTGCAGTTGTGAAACAAAGATGGAAACTTCAAAAAGAGAGGAAGAACGGATGGAAGAGCAAGTGTTGCATACTGTAAGGGTGGCAGACCAGAACAAGAACCGACCTCTCATACAAAGTACAAGATAGCGTAGCGGAAGACTGAGATACCAATGATCCGAACAATCAATATTGCAATGCAGCCCCTAACATACATCATCATCATCATTCCATGGTGTGAAGGGGTCTGGCGCTCACACAGGAAGAATGCGCCAGCCCCAACCATACACAGACGAAGAAGAGGGGGGTTAGACGAAGAAGAGGGGAAGATGGGAATGTCGTCGACACCAAGTCTTCGGCACAGGCCCAAATAGTCCCTTGTCAAAATGTCTGAATCCCAATGTCGAGTCTGGATCCAATGTCGTCAAGTCTCAAGTCACAACTCTCTCTCTCTCTCTCTGTCGTAGTCTGCTGATACTGAGAAGTAGGTGGGAGAGGGTGGAGAAGAGATGGTGGACTTAGAAGAGGAAGAAGAAGAACTCTCTCTCTCTCTCTCTCTCTCTCTCTCTCTCTCTCTCTCTCTCTCTGTGTGTCCGGTACTAACCTGTGAAGCTGGCGCCTTGATGCAGGTACCTCGAAGATGGAGCTGGAGCTATGGCGCCACAGGTAAGTCTCGCTGGCCTCCGCCAGGCATCTCTCCATTACTACTACCACTACCACTACTTAGCGCCCTGCGCTGAAGACTACTCCTGCCTTCTGTCCAACTACCTCCCCGTGCAGTGCATGGGAACTCCCAATGTACTACTCGGCCTGCCTCCTGACTGCCTGCAGCTTCGGGCGAGGCAGTCCAGGAGGCTGCTCTTGCCAAGGCCAGGACAAGCCAGGGGCTGGCGCTGCAGCTCCTGCTGAGGCTGGCGTGGGGAACAGGCCAAAAATAGCCTGTTCCCAAAACCCTGGTTTGTTGCCTGAGTTCTAGGGCAGGACAATCTTATGAGGCCCCGAAAGTGGCCCTCCGTTTCAGGCTGAAAAGACTCAGGGCTGAAAAGACTCAGGGCTGAAAAGCCCTGTTTTAGGCTGAAAACGAAATAGGGCCTGCAGGCCCTCGTTTTCAGTTTTCAGGCTGAAACGACATGGGGCCTGTAAGCCCTTATTTCTAGGCTTTTAGGCTGAGAATGCGGAACGGGCCCTGCAGGCCCGTGTGGCTACACAGTATGCCACMCCCCCCCCCTCCTTGAAAGACCGAGCTTACCTGCGAGGACGAAGCTGTCTGTCTGAGGAAGGGACCACAGTCCGGGTGGGAGGGGCAGGTCGTGAAGTTCCCTGAGCTGACCTTTGCTTCTCGTAATGAGCGTAGAACAGCGGTGTGGATGCTTTCAAATCTGCTCCTGAAATCCACCGAGTGTCGTCGCGGTCGCATGATTTGAATGTAACCTTGTACTGTCGAGGCTTGCTGCCGTACTTGCGATCGGTGATGACGCGGTCAACTTCCTAATGACCATCCACAGAAGGAGGGTCCTGCGATCGTCGGCCCGGGAAGTCGTCGCTCTTAGCTGGTGTATATGTTGCCAGCTTCGAGGCGTGAAAGACTGGATGGACCATCAGATGCGGGGGAATGTTGATCACAAATGAAGGGCCATCGACTCATCGCCCGCGGCTGATGTTACAGGCCATGGTCGAAACCACTTGGGAAGCAGTTTGCGTGAAACATCCTGTTCCAGTGCAAACTTTTCCGCGGAGACCCAAACCAGATCACCGGCGCGGATGGGACATGGCACGCGACGCCTGTTGGCTTGCTGCTGCATACGGACTTTAGCCTTTTGCATATTCGTGCGGGCTTGAGCCAGCAATTCCCTGTACTTCCGGACGGAAGCAGGAGAGCAAGCGGCGTCCATGTCGTCTGGTCGTGGGAGGAGAAGGTCGGCGAAGATACGGCCTTTCCGTCCACCGTGGTGCAACTCGAATGGAGTCCCACCGATCGCCGGGTGCACCGAAGTGTTGTAGGCGAACTCGATGTCGGGGAGGCGGTCAACCCATTCTTTCTGGTCCAGACGGATGAGCGTACGAAGCATCATTTGAGCGGTTTGATGTGCCCGCTCCGTTTGCCCGTCAGTCTGTGGATGCCGAGCCGAGCTTGGTTTCATCTTCGTGCCGGACTCCTACATGAGAGCAGTCCAAAATGCCGACATGAAGCGAGTGTTGCGGTCGCTGACGATGTCTTCCAGTACACCGTGGCCGCAAATCCAGCCAGTGTGCAAGAGGCGTGCCAGCTCGGGAGCCATGGAGTAGTACTTGCAAGGGAGAATGGACGATAGGCTTCGGAGCCTAGAACCATGGCAAGGCGAAATAGCGACGCATCCCGATCCGTCACAGCGCAGCATGCTGAGACCAGGTCATGGGTTATACGACACCCGCCAATAACTAGAAGTCCAACACGCAGCTAGGCTCATGCAACCTCCCTCCGATCCGACGAGCAGCGCATTGTTCAACAGGTAAGTCTCCAACTTCACTGCTTGCCTCAGGCTATTCCTTGGTTCGTACGAGCAGTGTGTCATTCAACAGATACGTCTCCTCTCAGCGGCTGTCCTCAAGCTGCTTCCTTTGGTCAGGTGAGAGGCGCATCACCCGACAGGTAAGTCTCCTCTCAGCGGCTGTCCTCAAGCTGCTTCCATCGATTGCTGAGCAACATACCGTTCCCTTGTAGGCTCGCTTTCCAACGAGTCGTTCCTTCAATGCACCTTGGCCTGGACTCTCGACCAGGTTCATTAAACTAATATACAGAACCCCAGCCACAGGAACTCCACCCGACAGCGGGGATGAGTGTAACGACGAAGCTCGCTGTAGTGAGCAGCACGTTCGAGGCAAGCATGAGCACGGGGGAACGCGACTTCTTCGTCGAACACAGGGAGTATTGCAAACAACAGCATGACTACCTGGATAATCCTGACACGATGGCCACTACGAGCAGTTCCGAGATCGTGACTAGCATGATCATAATCCACAATTACGGCGATATCGGTAATAAATACGATGTTGAGACCGAGCACGTGATGATGTACCTGCTCTCCACCATTTTCCAATTGTGCTAAATGAGATTGAATCTCCTGCTAGAAAGCGGGAAGATACATTCTGAAAAACAAGAGTGGATCTCCCGCTAGAAAGTGGGAAGATACATCGCAATGTCGTGCCTTTGTCAGTGTTGCACTGACCTCCTTTGCTCAAACTTGTTACCCTTCTCTTTTCCCTCGTGGAGATCCCTTTACTCTCTCTCTCTCTCTCTCTCTCTCTCTCTCTCTGTTGCGCTTGCTCCCATGCTCTGTTCCTTGCTTGCGCCCTTGCTCCACTTTGTCATGCGAGGTCGTCAGGGTCAGTGGCGACGATGAATCTTCCCTTAATCATGGGAAGTTTCACCCCCGTTCTCTGATACTTTTCTGCCAAAGCTGTACCCGAACAAAATATGTAAACCGAGAGTGAATCTTCAGTTAATCATGCAAAATATACATTGCTTTCCAGTCGTACATGTAGAGAGTTAGAGAGAGGTTACCTCCATCAATAGAATGAGCAGGATCGGAGTGATTCTTTTGCCGAAGTGGCCAGGTGCATCAACCCGCTGGGGGTCAGCATAAATGGCGGCAACGGCTCCTGACAGCAGCACTATTGGTATGAACCTCTTGATGAAGATCCCCTACGACAATCAGGTAAGCCCCTGTTTTCTCCCTCTTCCTTACTCCATCGCCCCTTCCCTTACTCCACCTTGTCCTTCTCCTCACTCCCACTCTCACTTCCTTCCTAACGCACCTAGTCCCTAATTGCGGCATTCTCCACAGGCACACCGCCTATAATGGTGGGTCATGTAGCTACGATGAAGGGTAGATCAGTTCTCAGACAAACGACCCTAGCATCAACGAGAAGCACCTCGAAGGTAAGCTCCGCTGACGTCCATCGCTGAGTCGAGAGTCTTCCCAAGCGCAGCTCTCACTGCCCGTACCGACCAAACCGGTCACCAAATGCGAAATCCGGCGCCACCATTTGATTCGCAATGCCTCAAAACCTCCACTTCGCCTCTTGGATCGCAAAGAATGGTCAAGAATGGACTAAGATTCACTGCTTCCATTCCCCTCTTTGCTTCGAATGGCAGCTCCGCGCACAACTTCTATTTCCCATACCGACTAACCTGATATCCCATCGCTAAAACTAGCGCTACTAATGGATTCGCTCGGCCCAAAAACCTTGAAATCGATTTTTACTTCACCTCATTCCATCAAGAAATCTGTCGTCTCACTCGATTTCTCCTCTCCCGCCTTCCCTTCTGCTTTTCCAATCTCTCTCGTATTTCTGAGTACAACCTCTCGAATGGCCACTCCGACAGGCCTTTGCCATAATGGACAATCCATCAGACAGCTGTTGGACCGTGCCTTCTCACAAACAAGCACACCTTCCTGTGTGCCAGCCAAGCCTCTTGTTATCACTCCGAATGAATCTAGCCTTTTTCAGACGCTAAATCCATCAGCCTGGGCCAGCCTTAGTACCAAGCCATCAGCCAGGTAGGGAAATCAAATCAGAGCAAATAAAAAAATAAAAATAAAAATAAATTTGATAAACGAAAAATGCCAGGAAGAAACGTAACCCCTCTGGCAAGTCCAGCGGTCTAGATCAATCGGAGATATGTTGGTCCCCACCGCAGGACTTTGCCGACTGGCTCACTTGGCTCTCGTCTGGTCATCCGATTATACCTGGATTCGAACTCTGGTCAGTATTTCAGAGCTCCAGTATATCACCTGTCTCTTATACACATCTAGATGTGTATAAGAGACAGCCTCTGGCAA